AAACTTGTGCTGCAGAGGCTGCAGTTAGCTTCATGGTGCTATGCTTAACCCCTGTGCAACCAAGGAGGCCCAAGACCATTACTTCTTGAATCACTTCAGCCTTCTCTGTTATGAAATATTGGACACATCAAATAGTATATATTTCATAAATGTAGGGTTTAAAAAGTATAATAATGAAATAAACATGCATGATTCTAGAAGTTGACATAAATAATGCTTTTGGAAACCCCTGTATGCCTCTTCCCAGAGGAGTTCTTCCCAGCCCCAGGATAGCGTTCCAGACTTCTGAATGTTGCAGTTTTTTATTCTTTTGCTTTCCAGTGTTGTTTTATCAGAGTAAAAAAGTATTTTTAAATAATGTGTTGTTTAATTGTTCAAATTTTAGAATTTTATGGAATTCACCATGAGTTCATTTGTTTAAGATATGTATGGATTTTGTCATTTAAACATGTCAGTCATTTCATTGCTATATGATAGTCTACTATATTGATATACCACAACTTAGTAGTTCATTGTTCTTTCCAGGAATCTTTATTTTTTTCCAGTTGTAACTTCTTGTATTATTAATTTATTACAAAGATGTTCTTTTTCAGTCTTGCATGTCTTTTTTCTTTTGTTTACACTGAATAAATGTTGTTTTGCAACACTGTATATGATGCTGAAAGCACAGGTTCATAGCTCTTCAGATGTATGTTACCACATTGCATCCACATCAAAGCACCCATAAGGCTCCACCAGGGTCCTTTGAGCTCCTCTCCACATTTTACTCTACCTTCCCTGTTCTCTGCTGTTAACATCAATTCTATTGTCAAATGTTTAGGGTTTGTTTTTAGTAAGGTTTTTTTCCCCCTAACCATTTGCTTTGTTTTTCAATAGTCCACATATGTGTGAAACGATGTGCTACTTGTCTTTCTGACTTATTTCATTTAGCAATATCCCCTCTACTTCCATCCATGTTGTTGCAAATGGTCAGAGTTCATATATATTTTAATAGCTGAGTAGTATTCCATTGTGGATATGTAACACATCTTCTTTATCCACTTATCTGTCATTGAGCACTTAGGTTGTTTCCATAACTTGGCTATTGTAAGTTGTGCTACATTGAACATAGGTATAGATATAGCCTTTCAAATTTGTGTGTTTTCATTCTTCTGGAAAATTCCTATGGATAGAATTGCTGGATAATGTGGCATATCTATTTTTAATATTTTGAGAAACCTCCATACTCTTTTTCATAGAGGATGGAACATTCTACCTTCCCAGTTATGGTGTAGGAGGGTTCCTTTTTTCCTCCATACCCTTGCCAAAACTTGTTGTTTCTGTCTTTTTGGTATAGGCCATTCTCATTCAGGTGTGAGGTGATATTGGAGAAGCATTTGGTTAGTTCTTCTGACCAATTTTGGGTTAGATTATTTGAATTTTTTTTGAGCTGTATGAGCCTTTTATAGTTCTTTGATATTAGGCTCTTGTTGAATTATGGTGGGCAGATATCTTCTCCCATTCAGTAGGGTGTCTTTTTGTTTTAGTTACTTTCATTGTTCAGAAGCTTTTTAGTTTGATGTAGTCTTACTTATTTTTGGTTTTGTTTCCCTTGCCATAATAGCAGTGTTCTCACAGAGATCACTGAATCCAATGTCATGGAGATTTTGTCAATGTTTTCATAAAGATATTATGGCTTCATGTCCTCCATTCATGTCTTTAATCTATTTTAAGGCAAATTTTATGTATGGGGTAGTGTTCTAGTTTCAGTTTTTTACATGTTTCTGTTTAGTTTTCCTAAGACCATTTATTGAAGAGACTTTTCTTTCGCCAATGTATACCTTTGAGTCCTTTGCCTTAATTGGTGGTCCCTGACCACCATAATTGTGGGTTTACTTGGGGATTTCAATTCTAGTATTGGTTCTATGTGCCTGTTTTTAGTCCTCTACCATACTGTTTTGATTACTATAGCTGCATAGTATGGTTTGATGTCTGGGATGTGATGCTTCCTTTCCTTTTCACTTTTGTAAGCATTGCTTTGGCTTTCAGGGTGTTTTGTTGTTCCATATAATTTCAATAATTGTTTGCTCTATATTTTGGAAGAATGTCATGGCCAAGGGGTATTCCAGATTTTCTCGAAACTGTGGTACTCTCAGGGTGAGAGTCCCTCTCACTGTTAGATGACCCTCTTGGGAAGAAAACAAGGAACTCCCTGTGCTCCATATTTGTTTATCCTTTGGATAAAAAAATGTCTTGTATGTCTTTTAAATATATAAAAATATTCTATTGAATATTTTATATGTCCTGGTAGAAAAACATAGGATTTTCTCTAAGAATAAATATAGAAGTATAATTTTTGGGTGATACACCATGCAGAAATTTATTATTTGACACATACTATTTTCTGCTTAAATTGATTTGTTCCAATTGCCAAAAATAACAGTAGTGTATGGATATTCCCATTGATCAACCACTTTGAAAATATTGAATATTATCATCCACTTAAATTTTAACAAAGTGGTGGGAATAACAAATACTTCATTGTGGTTTTAATTTATATATATATATGCCTTTTAATACTTATTTTTCTACATGTCTTATATGATTTTGCCTACTTTTCTATTGGGTTCTTTGTATTTTTCTTTTTGTTTTTAAAGAACTCTATATATATTCTGGATTTTTCTCTTTTTATGTATATTTCAATATCTTTGTTAAATTTGTATCTATTTTTTATTCCATATATCTTTTAATAAAAAGAAATGTAATAAAGATGTATAAAAAGATGTTATTTTATGTGCAAGCTAACAAATTAGCCTACCACAAGTTCGTGCATGCTGGTAGAAGGCACAAGAATCCTGGGTCAAATATGTCTTTGTTACTCACAATTAAAATATCAACATTCATGCCAGTTCCTTGGACCCCACTAAAAAACAGAGTGATCTAAGAATATCTGGTGACTACTATACCTACAGTGAGTTACACTATGGAAGACAACCCCCAGCTTTGAGAACCCACATCTTTTTTAATGGGTAGCAAACAAGTTTTACTTTTGCCCAAGAGGGACTCCTTGTTATATTATAGAGAATAACTAGACCTGCCCTTTGCTCTGAATGGAAATATTATCATTGTTTTCTAAGGTTGTTTCCTGTATAACCATCCTTGAAAAGAATATCTGAAATAAAGGCAGCCAGAGCTTCTATTTGCAAGACATGCAGAAATATAAGACTGATAGAGAATTGTGTTGCAATAGAGATGGGCTTTCTCCCCCAGTTCCTACATTCTCATACGCACAACCAATTGTCTCAGCATGATTTAATGTATATTTTCTTCTCTCTATAAATATCTGTGATACAGATTTTGACATAATCAGTTCATGTATATATGTCTATACTCACACATATCTGTATATGTGTCTACACACATGTATATATACAGATATACATACATACAATATACATACACATATGTATATACATATATGTATACATAATCTGTTCCTGGTTTTTGTTATATTAAGTCAATTTCTGCATCAACCTCATCTAGTTTTATTTTCTATAACTTTATAATAAACCCTGATCTTGTGGAGAGTGGATCCCTTTCTACCTGCCCTTGCCCCGCCTCCCAGACAAATACCCCAATAACAAATTTTTGTTCTTCAGAAATTTATAATTTATTTTTGTAATTTCATTCTTCTTTAGAATGTAAAAATCTGCATATGTTCCATTGTAAAACTTTTTTTTCTTGCTTTTGGACCTTTCCACTGGTCCTGTTTTGCTTCTAAAGTTTGTTTAAAACTTCCCATAGTAAACTTTATTTAATTTTCCACTGTGACGTTCACCATAGATAGGTTCTAAGCTTTGTTTCCTATATTCCCCACATGCCTTTTAAAAACTAAATTTCCAGTCTTTAGACATCAGCAGATGGCCTGGGGACAAGTGGTGACACAACTCATTCACTTCTCTGCATGGATTATTTCTCATTGTTTTCAACTTCAGAATTTTTCTTGTATTTTAGTGACAATTCAGCCTCGAATTTTAAAAGATACTCTATTCAATCTAACTTTTCCAACAGTTTTATACTGAGATTGATGTTTGGAATATCTAATCATTCATATAGCCAGGAACAGAAACCTTGTGTCAGTCATGGTTTTTAAATTGTTTAATCTTACATAATTGTGACTTTCACACAATAAAATTAAACAAAATATGTTCAATTGAACTGAACAAGATTTCAATTGGATTTTAGTGCTACTACTGCCTTTATATTCCCAAATAATACCCAGTAACTAATTTGGCATTCCCACCATTGCATGATTTTTATCTTCTCAAAACTGCAAAATTACACAATATTCCAAACATAATGAAAGTAATATAATTGAAATCTTTGTACTTGCTGCAAAGACTAAACAAATGTTTATATAATACCCATTTTTCTTTAGTCTAATTTTGTATGGTTATACGAGGACATTATGTATTACCATTTTATACATTGAAACATTTATGTTAATAATATGGTATCTTTATACTCTTTTGAAACTTGCTTTTTCCCCCATTTAATATCACATTTGAAAATTTGTGCTAATACTGTAGATAGACTGTAATATACTGCTCCAAGTTCTGTACATAATTCTCTTATAAATTACATTTTATCAAATACACACTTTATACAACAATAAACATCTTTTTATTTATCATCTTGAGCATATATTTGAGTTTAAAAAATAGATTTTTAGAGCTGAAAGTGTTTTATAATCGCCTGTATGTAATTTATTAGTTATATTTACTTTCTTGCATCTAATATTTATAATTAATATTGATTATAGAAGATAGGGCATTTTTAAATTTTAACCTTATATTATTAAAAATTTACAATTTGTGGGAGTACCTCATACTTGTCTGGAGAAGAATTATGCTGAATGTATATGATACCTGTGTAAAACACAAATTATATTAAAGCTTATACTATTAAATAATGAATAATTAGGTGATTTGGAAATTCATGATTCTCTCCTTTTTCTATAGGTATTTATGAGCCTCCATTTATTGTACTACTGCAGTGAACCAATCTTGGATGTGAAAATTGCCTTTTGTCAGGTGTGTGTTCCTTACAGGTAAAACAAGGTACAGTATATTCCCTTGTATTTCCATTTTGCATTCCATCTTGTATATATTCCACACCAAGTTAGCAATTATATAATATTAAAAGTAGCTTAAGAAGTAGAAGTGGATACTTAGATATCTTTTCTTTTCCACTTAGAATAAGAATAAAGAAAATTAATTTTAATGATTATAAATACAGTAATCGCTGTGTAAAATTATTTCAATCAGTATTTTTAATATTTATTTTCAAATCCTTGAAATGAGGCTCTAATTATCAAAATAGTTGAAGTCAGTGTTAATTTTTTTTTGTACTGCTGAGCCCTAAGTGAACTATGTCTGTTACCCACATATAACAACATATGAGTGGTGCTCAGTTTTTCTCTTGCCCAGTACTAACATGTAGTTAGTAAGAAAGCAAAATCACAATAATGACATATAAAGGTATATTTAGCCTACAGTGGACAATAAGAAGGCAGTGACAATGGTTGGTCGTATTGTGTGGACCAGATTCTTATCTCCTATGTTCATACAAACTCTTATTCTTAAGATAGAAGGTACTGGGGAAGACTATACTTACATAGTTATGTAATGGTGTTCCTTTTCATTCTCAGGAATAGTTCCTTGGGAAATGAATTATATGGTAACTATGTAATACCACAAGTGGAGAATTCCGTTTTTCTGTAATGCTTCTCATTATAACTTATTGAACTGTGCTGTAAACAGAGAATATTGAACCCACGAAATAAAATTTAAAATCTTTGGCATCCATTGTTTTAATGTAATCCTTCTGATTCTAGACATAATATAGCTTTAATATAGAAAATTTGGAAAGTATAAAGGGAAAGAAAACATGGTATATCTATTCTCTCTGAGCATAGGTAGAATTTCAATGGGAAAGTAAAATGTGTTACATGTAATGATTGTACTGATCTGATTTGTGTGAAGTGTTGGAAGCCTCAAGCTTTTAGATAAATTTCTCTTCTTACAAGAATTTACACAATCTTTGTTAGAAATCTCAGGTCTAATATTTACTATTTCAGGTCTAATATTTACTTGTGACTTTGGGCAAGTTACTTAATCTTTGTGCTTCAATTTCCTTATTAGTAAACAAGTGGAAGTTCATATAAACTACTTTATAAGGTGATGAGAATTAAATGAGTTGATGTTTACAGAGCACTGAGAACTGTACTGAAATACTAGTCTGTTAATAAGGCAATAAATTTTAAATAAATTTGCATTTATCCTTCTGATACTCCCATTGAGTCCTAATGTTTTATTTATTTATTTTTTTAAGATTTATTTTATTTATTTATATAAGCTGGGCACAGTCAGAAACGCGGGAGGGTGAGAGAATTCACCAGAGCCAGAGGGGAGAGAGCAGAGCAGGCAGACTGACGAAGTACACTGCTGGGGGGAGCAGCAGGCACAGCAGGGGAGGTCTGAGCGCCATGTGGGACCCTTGCCCGGCGGCCAGGATCGAACTGGCGCTGCAGAGGCTGCAGGCAGCCTCGCAACCCAGCGTTCAACCGCTATGCCACCAGGGAGGCCCAAGTCCTAATATTTTAAATGTCAATGTCTTGAATGCTCCCATAGTTACATCTCCAACCCCAACCTCTCCCTAAAACGACACTCACATACTCTTCCTGCTCTGTCTGCATCTCTGCCTTGATGTCTCATAAGCATATCAAACTAATATTTCAAATCAAACCCCTGATCTTTCTTCCAAAATTACCCTCTTTTAGTCAGTAAACACTAACTCTATCGTTCCAGTTGCATCAAACAAATTTTTGGAATTATCATTTTCTTAACACTTCTTGTCAAGTCTGTTGACAAACCCAAAATGAATCTGGAATCTTGCCACTTCTCATTACATTCTCCACTATCCCTCTACTCCAAGCTACTGTTATTGTTATTTGAAGGAAGACCTTCCACCATTTCTCATCCCAAAGTCTCCTATCTCACTTACGGTAAAAACCAAAATTCTTACATTAGTACTCAAGTCTTTACAATGTAGCTACCTAAAAACCATTTCCTTGTATACTCCTCTTAATAAGTCCACTTAACCCAGTTTTTACCATCTTAAGGGTTTTGCTCAAAAATCATTTTGAGTATTTTCTGACTATCCTATTTAAAGCTGCCCCTTCCTTGCTGCCTACCCAACACCCTGCCTTTCTTTGATCTCTTTTGTAGCAATTAATGGTAGCTGGTATCCTTCATGTGTTACTTTCTTCCAGCTTGAATGATTTTATCACTCAGGTGGGGATTATTTCATTGATGTGCTGGAGCACGCTCACACAGGCTCATAAGAATCGACTTACAGGGCCTTCCTAGTGGCACAGGGGGTTGAGCGCAGCACTGTGAAGCTGTCCAGGGCCTCTGAGGCTCGAGTTCGATCCCTCCGAGGAGCAAGTTAGATCCCCAGCTGGCTGGAGAGCAACCCACATGGCGCAACAGACCTCTCCTGTCTCTCCCACTGCTCCCCTCAGCAGTGAATTTCGGTATATCTGTGTGTTCTGCTTCCTGCTCTCTCTGGTGACTCTTCTTACCCCCACCCTCCCCATGACTCTGGCCTGCACCCCTCTTCTTTTTATTTTATTTATTTTTTTAAGATTGATTGATTGATTGATTGATTTATACAAGCACTGGGTACAATCAGAAGCATGGGAGGGTGAGAGAATTCACAAGCGCCACAGCGGGGAACAGAACAGGAAGACTGACGAAATACACTGCTGAGGGGAGCAGCGGGCACATCAGGAGAGGTCTGTCGTGCCATGTGGGACCCTCGCTGGTGGCCAGGGATTGAACAGATGCTGCAGAGGCTGCGGGCAGCCTCGCAGCCCAGTGCTCAACCGCTGAGCCACTAGGGGAGGCCCTCTTTTTTTTATTTTTTAAGAAGTGGAGTACAGGGCCTCCCCTGGTGGGGCAGCCTCGTTCCCACAACCTCTGCAGCGCTGGTTCATTCAGCAGCCGCTGGAGAGGGTCCCACCAAAAAAAAAAAAAAAGACTCAGTTTACATATTTATTCTCAATTTCAGGTCCTATAATGTCAGGTTAATAGATTGAAATTTGTCATGATAAAAATATGTACATTGTGGCAATAATTGCTACAAATAAGTTCTCTTTCTTCATCCTCCAGTCAGTTGTTGAACATTTACCAGCACACCCTTAAAAAATGTCTCTTTTTTAAGAAACAAAACAAAGGAACAGCCCAAACAAAATTAAAAAAAAAATTTGGATTCAGAGTGCAGAATTGAGGTTTCCAGAGGGGAATGGGGATAAGAGCAAAGGGTGAAGTAGGTTCATTGCGCTTGATGGATAGTTACTGGTAGTTTGCTAGTGAGTGGGGTGTGAGCCACTGGTACTTCTAAAACCATACAGTGATATAAACCAATGTTTTCTCAGTTGAAAGAAAGGAAAATGAATTTGTCTCTTTTTTACACTGCTGTACTGTAGCTCCAATATTAGTATCTAGTATTAGTATTAGTATCTAGTATTAGATACTAGTATTAGATACTAGTATTAGTATGTAGTATCTAGTATTAGTATCTAGTATTAGTATCTAGTATATGATAGGCATTCACCAAATATTTGTTTAATGAGTGAATGAAAGATACATAGGTTTGTGAATTTATCACAACTGTAATATGCTTTGGAGGAAACTAGAAGGTCTGAATTTCTGCTGGAATATCTGGGTTCTATCATCCTCTTGTTAACTCCTGACTGTGAATGCTTTCCTTGCCTCCATGAGCCCATCCATTTCCTGTGGACATTAATACTTAAAAAACAAACAGAAATTTAAGTTCATATTTTATATATTTCAAGATGAAATCAGAATTTCAAAAATTATAATTAAAGAAATCTTAAAAGATCAACTACTCATTAAATTGAAAAAGTTTTGTGTTGAAGACTTTTTTTTAATCAACTCAACACTTGGGGACAAATGTCAATCTTTATTTTTTAAGAATTCTTTTCATAGGGGCCTCCCTGGTGGTGCAGGGGTTAAAGTCTCAGTGCTATGAAGATATTGCCAGCAGCTGGGAGTGAGTTCCACCCCAGCCAGGCCACGGAGCTAACACACATGGTGCAGCAGACTTCTCCTGTTTCACCCGCTGCTCCCCTCAGCGAGACAGACAGGGGATTTAAGTAGCTATGCCTGTTCTGCTCCCCACTCTGTCTCTGATAAATCTTCTCACCCCCTACATCTCTGGTCTATACCCCAGTTCTTGTATGCAAAATAAAAATAAATCTTTTTTTTAAAGATTTTATTTATTTATACAAGAATCGGGGTACAGGCCAGATGCTCGGGAAGGTGAAGGATTCACCAGAGACACAGAGGGGAACAAAACAGGCAGACTGATGAAATATACTGCTGAAGGAAGCAGCCGGTGAGACAGGAGAGGTCTGCTGCACCATGTGGGACCCTCGCTGGTCGGCTGGGATCGAAGTTGGACCGGAGCTGCAGAGGCTGGGGACAGCTTCACAGCTTCACAGCACAGCGCTCAACTGCCTGCGCCACCAGGGGAGGCCCTAAAAATAAATCTTTTAAAAAAGTTTTAAAAAATTCATTTCATGCAAAGGAATAAAGAAAAGAGTATGAACTTTCTTCATGACTGATTTTGCTTACTATGAGATTCCTGTACCTAGAAAATATGCAGGCATATTCTATAACTTTAAAAAATCTTGAAATATAGCAAGCAAAGTATTTTCTAGTTTTGACTGAGAGTATTTTATTTACTTTCCATGTATAATTTAATTTGATACTTCTTTTTCTTTCTTGTACTTCTTGAGCAATTTAAAGAAAGTGGTATAGAGGCAATATTACCTATTGTGTTTTACTTTCTTTTAAAGATAGTACTATTTTTTTTTAAATTATATCATCTTTTATTGAGGTTTGGGGGTGTAATGTTCACACCTCCTCAGATATGTTACCACACCACTCCCACCACCAAAGCACCTGTAGTTTTCTGCCATAGTATATTGGGTCTCCTCTCTCCT